CTGAAAAATGCCTCAGGTCGCTGAGAGGTGCACCTTGGTTCCCCTTTGACCATCATATGGACTGTAAGACAGATTCACTGGATTAACATCATCTCCTCATATTATCCAGCGAGAACCCACTGACCCTCTCCTTCCTTCTAAGGGTCCCAACTGATCATCCTCTACACTGTAAATAATAAACACTGATGAAGCCTTCCGGACCAAAGGCAAAAAGTTTCAGCACAAAAAAAAAGAAACTGTCCAGATGACCTGACTGAAAAATGTTGGATTATATACCTGGATTACTGCAAATGGACTTTGTTGTTTTCAACCAGTTTGACAAGACTGTCAACAAGGAAGAGGGGGCATACCAAAGAGACCATCTTATCACAAGCACAACTGGTTTGTTCCACTTTAGAGTAAGCTGTTGGGGAAGAATCAGTTTTGCTGTGTGTTTCCTTGACTGATGAAGCCTTCCGGACCGAAGGCGAAACGTTTCAGCACACAAAAAAGAAATTGTCCAGATGACCTGACTGAAAAATGTTGGACTGTCAATTTGTATTCCTGAGTCTCGTCTCGTTTTCATGGTCTCGTATTACTCTGGGTTCCTCAAGTCGTAACACACAGATTGTAGTGTAAAGTGCTTTGAGTATCTTGATCAGATTGAAAGGCACTATATAAGTACAGTCCATTTATCAGTCCATTTACCATTTACCATTTATTGTACGCTGTTAAATGCTTGTTGGTTAACAAATAAAGTAGACACAATCTGGATGTTAAAAGCAACACATTGGTCATCATTGCTCTCTCCTGTTTTATTATTCTTCAGAATCCAAAAAAGTTCAATCTGGTCCTCTGGATATTCAAAAAATCAAAAAAACAAAACAAAGCAAAAAAATACAGAAACGTTTCGTCTCTCATCCGAGAGACTTCCTCAGTCTGAGGTGCTGTTTTCAGCTCAGTCTCTTAAATAGCACCTTCTCAGAGTGGATCAACCAGTTTGCTGCTGTCAACCAAAACCAGCTGATCACATGCTCAAGAAGGACCATCAGTCTAACAATGGATCATTAGCACACTGATGGCTGTTTACTATTCACACAGGGCTGAGTGATACTAGCAATCACAGCATTGTAAGAGGGGGACAGTTGAACCCGGAGGCCTCCACCCCTGTTTAATGATGGACGATTTCTTTTCACAAAGATGGCCTCCTTTACTCCTCTCTCAAACCATCGTTCCTCTCTGTCCAGGATGTGAACATCTTCATCCTTGAAAGAGTGACCGCTGGCCTGGAGATGAGTGTAGACCGCAGAATCCTGGCCTGATGATGTTGATCTTCTGTGCTGGGCCATCCTTTTGGCCAGTGGCTGTTTAGTTTCCCCGGTGTAAGACTGATCACAGCCCTCATGACACTGAACAGCATACACAATATTACTCTGTTTGTGCCAGGGGACTGGATCTTTGGAATGTACCAGTCTTTAATGTATTTTGGGGTTTAAAAGCCACTGGGACGTTGTGTTTAGAAAATAAACGTCTCAGTTTCTCTGATACTCCTGCAACATATGGAATGACCACTGGTCTGGGTCTGGGTTCCTCCTTTTCACCTGATGGCTGGCTGGAGTCCTGTTTGGGTTTCTTCTCTGCTTTCAGGAAGGCCCAGTTAGGATATCCACATTGCTCTAGAGCCTGTCTTGTGTAGGATTTCTCCTTCTGCCTGGCTCCTGAGTTAGTGGGGACACTGTCTGTTCTGTGGAATAGATTCTTGATGATCCTAACTTGTGCTCCAAAGGGTGATGGGAGTCAAACTGCAAATACTCGTCTATGTGGGTGGGTTTGCGGTACACCTCAGTTTGCAAATGTCCTCTATCAGAGACTGAGACCTCACAGTCCAAGAAAGCCAACCTATTGACATGGCAATAATAAACTGATTCTGATTCTTTGTCTGCTGGGAGAATTATGATGTTTTTGTCCTTGCTAAGAGTGGTGAGTGCATCCCTCTCCTCTCTACTGATGTTGGAAGGTGGTGGTTTGGCATTGCTGAGGCAGGCTGAAACTTTGATTCTGAGCTGTTCTGCTTCCACCTCTTTAATTTTGTTGTTGCGGATGGCTGACTCAGTAGCTGTGATCATCTCCACCAGAGGAATTCTACTTGGTGCAACCGCAAAGTTCAGTCCCCTGGCAAGAATCTCTGGCTGGGTGAATTATCTGTCAGATAAATTCTTCACCCACTTTTCTGTCTCCCTGGCATGTAATTGACTACTGGAGTGTTGTCCTGCACTGAATGTGTTGTAATTGGAATAGTGATGGTGTTGATGAGCTATTAGTAAGTTATACTTGTTTTGTTGTCGAGTCTTGAACTTGACATGCTGTGCTAAGCGTGCCTGATCTGTACAGTCCAACACTTGCTGAAGTGTGGTCTGATCTAGACACATAGTTAGTTTCTGTCTAATATGCTCTTCTTTGGCCTTCAAGGCCTCAATAGACCTCAATAGACTCAACAGACCAATTTTACTATTGAGGCCTTGAAGGCCAAAGAAGAGCACATTAAACAGAAACCAACAATGTGTCTAGATCAGCAGCAGGACCACGCTTTCCACAGAGCAACAGTGGCAACTCTTGAAACTGTGCCTGCAGTCAACCTACTTCACATATGGGGAACAATATTATAAGCAGAAACATTGGTGTGCTATGGGGTCTCCAGTTTCTCCTATTGTGGCCAACCTGTACATGGCGGAGGTAGAAAAGAGAGCCTTGACGTTTTTCAGGGACACCACCAAGTCATTGGTTCAGGTATGTTGACGACACCTGGGTTAAAATTAAATCTTAGGAAGGCCAACATTTTACTGACCACATCAACTCTGTGGATAAATACATCAAGTTCACATGAGAAAAGGAGAAAAAAATGGCAGGCTGGCTTTCTTGGACTGTGAGGTCTCAGCTTCTGATAGAGGATATTTGCAAACTGAGGTGTACCACAAACCCAGCCACACAGACCAGTGTTTGCAATTTGACTCCCATCACCCTTTGGACAAGTTAGGAGTCATCAGGACTCTGTACCACAGAGCAGACAGCATCCCCACTAAATCAGGAGCCAGGCAGAAGCAGAAATCCCACACAAGACAGGCTCTAGATCAATGTGGATATCCTAACTGGGCCTTCCTGAAAGCAGAGAAGAAACCCAAACAGGACTCCAGCCAGCCATCAGGTGAAAAGGAGGAACCCAGACCCAGACCAGTGGTCATTCCATATGTTGCAGGAGTATCAGAGAAACGTCCCAGTGGCTTTTAAACCCCAAAATACATTAAAGACTGGTACATTCCAAAGATCCAGTCCGCCGGCACAAACAGAGTAATATGGTGTATGTTGTTCTGTGTCAGGAGGACTGTGATCAGTCTTACATTGGGGAAACTAAACAGCCACTGGCCAAAAAGATGGCCCAGCACAGAAGATCAACATCATCAGGCCAGGACTCTGCGGTCTACACTCATCTCCGGGCCAGCGGTCACTCTTTCAGGGATGAAGATGTTCACATCCTGGATAGAGAGGAACAATGGTTTGAGAGAGGAGTAAAGGGGGCCATTTTTGTGAAAAGAAACTGCCCTTCATTAAACAGGGGTGGAGGCCTCCATGTTCAACTGTCCCCCTCTTACAATGCTGTTATTGCTAGTATCACTCAGCCCTCTGAGAATAGTAAACAGCCATCAGTGTGCTAATGATCCATTGTTAGGCTGATGGTCCTTCTTGAGCATGTGATCAGCTGGTTTTGGTTGTCAGCAGCAAACTGGTTGATCCACTACAAGAAGGTACTATTTAAGAGACTGAGCTGAGCACAGCTCCTCAGTCTGAAGAAGTGTTTCGGATGAAAGATGAAACGTTTCTACAATTTTTTTGTTTTGTTTTTTTGAATGTTCAGAGGACCACACTTAAATTTTTTTGATTTTTCTACCTGGATTATTGAGCATGCATCAGGATAATATAATACAAGTATTTTAATAATCAGATAATTTGTCAGTGGAATTTATGAAAGGCACACAAAATCTGATATCCTGGACATTTCAGCATTAAACTATTTTTTTCAGATCCTATTTGTTAATCAAATTCTAAAATTTGCAATTTAAAAAAAAATAAAAATAAAACATTTGTTCTATTAACTTTTGGCCCACTTACTGTAGGTCCCTCACATGGAACTAACCTCATTAAGCTAGCTGCGCTGAGAGTTTTCACTTTTCACCATATGTTTCTGTCATATCCAACAAAGTTCAGTCAGGTCCTCTGGACGGTTTCTACTTCCAGAAACCATCCAGAGAACCTGACTGAACTTTGTTGGATTTTTATACTTGGATTATTGAGCATGAATCATGATGTTTCTTTCTTACTGCTCCATTATGAACAAACAATAATTCACTGAACTTTGCTGCATCAGCACCAGTGCTTTTGTCTTTTTCCTCTTCCCTCTCTGCTGCACCTTTCCTCTTTGGTTGTTTCTCTCCCTTCATTCTACAAGCTTTAAGACCCAAACTGGAGAAAAGATGGACGTACAGAAATGCGTGCTCTGCGCACAAACATATAACCCTCGAGAGCGAGTGCCAGTCCATGGGGGCGGGCGTGCAATTTGTGTGTCACTGCTCTGCTCAGTCTGCTAACAGACACAGCCTCAGAGGGAGACAGGAGGGGCGGGGGATCCTCAGTTAGACCTGATTGAGCCCGGCACAAGAGCGGCTTGTTTATTTAAAATAATCAAGCACGACCCAAAACAAGCCTTTAGTCCAGTCCCTCAGCGGGCACTAAACAGGGCTAGGCCACTGGGAATTGTCCCGGCGCTCCCGATGGCCAGTCCGCCTCTGCTTACAATGCTGTTATTTCATCACTCAGCCCTCTGTGAACAACAAGCAGCCAACAGGCCATTAAAGACCTGTTGTTAGGTTGATGGTCCTCTTTTTACATGTGAATAGTTTATTATTATTATTTTTTTACCTGCATCACAGGCTGTGTGTGTGTGTGGGTGTGTGTGTACAAAGGCTGACCTTTGGCGTCACATTCCTGGAAGGAAACAGAACCTTCATATTTGGTCATCAGGCCTCCCCCACACGAGAAGCACAGAACTCGACCTGGTTCTGTCTGGTAAGAGCCCAAAGGACAAATTTTACATGGCCGAAACCCATCAGGAGAAAACTGGCCTGCCGGACACTGACCTGTGTGAGAGACAATAAATACATAAATAAAAAAGGGAAGGGGTGGGGGGGGGGGGGGGGGAGAGAGAAAGAAAGGCACAGAGAGAGAGAGAGAGAGAGAGATTAAAATGTGATTATAAAATGGCCAGTTGTAGTGATACCTATAGTCCTCAGCTTGGCTGTGAACATCTCTAATGCAGAGAATACCTTGAGGTTCCAAAACCAAATGGCTCCCACTTTACCACTGTCCATAAACATCATAAACAGAATTAAAAATAAGGAGAAGCCCTATAAGTAGTCTAACATGCATTGAACTACCTTCACTTTGTAGCTAGATAGATGTGTACTTTATTGTCCCCAAAGAGAAATTTGTCTTGAACATGATGTGCTAAACAAAGCTTCTTCCATAATTAAATACATTACAAACTATAAAATCAAAAAATATATATTGCTCAATAAACACATATTGCACATTCCCACATACATAGTACATTCTAGTAAATGAACGAAACAACAAAGCAGACCAGAGCATCAGCAGCATGACAAATGACTATATGTCTACTTTTTTTCCAAGATGGCTGCGCTCACCCGAGTCACAGCTTCACAGGCTCCCGGTGAACTCAATCTTTTTTTGTTCTTGTTTTCTTTTTTACCTTTATTTGCACCTACAATGCACATCCACAGTATGGGTATGACCGCAACACACTTGTGGAGTTTTCTGTGTCGCTGCCTTGGCATCGTGCTGTCATGGTTCAGTCCTTCCAGTCTTGGGCTCAGACCTGTCATGGTGGATGTCTCCATGATCCTCCATCTCCCTGCACAGACCAAACTCTATGGACCCGTTCAGTTCTGGGGGGAAACCTGGATGTTCTCTGTCTGCCGGACCCGGTTCTGGAGGGCTGTCTGGGAGGGCAGCTGCTGTGATCATTGTTACCATTGGGCTGCTGACAGGACCTGCTAACTAGACCTGCTAACCTGCTAATGCTGCTAACAAGTTCCTCCGTCTGCCTGATCAGACCAAACTCTGCGGAACCCGCTTGGTTCCGCAGGGGAACCTTGGATATTCTCTGTCTGCTGGACCCAGTTCTGGAGGGCTGTCTGGGAGGCAGCTGCTTTGGTCCTTATTATCATCATGCTGCTGAAGGGATCTGCTAACAGTGCTAACAACACCACACCGTTAACCGATCCATGCCGCTAACAGTAAAATGGTGCCAACAGGACCATGTTGCTAAGAGAAACCTCATTGCTAGCCGAACCTCACTGCTAACAGTATCATACTGCTAACTGGAACATGTTGCTAAGATAACCTCACTGTCAACAGAACCACTCTGCCAATAGGACCATGCTGCTGTAAATGTATTTATTTTTCTCTTTTGGAGGCTTGTTTCTGTATTTTTGTTGCATGCTTTGAATAAGTCCTGGTTTATGTTAGTTTAGTTTATGTTAGTGCTTGCATTAAGTGTGTAAATTATAGCCAAACAGAACCTATGAGAATCGTGCTATTGTTGTTCAGTGTCTTGTTTTGCACTATTAGTGACTGGCATATATCTTAGATCTTTTAGCGTACCGTTTGGTGTTCATTTAGCATATATCTTAGTTTATATCTCAGATCCTTATTTACTGTTTCTTTTTACACTTTATATTTTTGCTACTGTTTGATGTAACTGGGACCCTGTGTACACAATTTTGTTCCACTACATGAACAAGATGCAGTGGTTAATTTGACTCGGATCCTGTCGGAACACGATCGGGGAACGCTCTCATTTTGACCGCGTGCATACCGGCAACTGTTTGCTTGGATCCGACAACTCAACTCTCAGCCCATAAAAGTCCAAAATCATTGCACATTTTTATTTTGATTATTTATTAAAAATACATCGAGAGGAGACGTTGCCCAATCTGTGGGGTGGATATTACTGCTGCAGCAGGCACACAGCTTGTGCACACGCTCCTAGTGATAAGCATGCTCACACAGGTGTTTAGATTCAGGTGTTTATCAGATACACACTCAGTTGGGTTGTGGTGGCCATCAAATATATATTGTATTACCATGTACTATATAAAATACTTTCTAATGATGTTAAAAGTATCATTATATATGTTGTTTGTTGTTGTGGTTACTCGGTTTTGTCTTTTTTTTTCTTTCCGCAGGTCTAGAGGCAGACTTCAATGATGTTGATTTGTGTTCTTTAT